AACCAGGCCAAACCCCCTTAGTTGATTGGTTTGGCGTTCCCGATCGGTATTGGACATATGCCTGTGCTAGCAGCTTGTAAGGTAACACTCACGCTACTTTCTCGGACGCAGGGGAGGATCGATAATGAATACTGATTTCATGCTGTCAGTAATGATGATGATGATACTGAAACCACAAACACCAACCCATCACTACGCTCCACTGTGCTCCCCAACGAAGCACTGATGGTGTCAAACCGATCTGTGATGAAACCAAATCTTTCAGTTCAGCGAACCCACTAACTACCATGTGCAGTATCTGTGCCTTCAACACCATCAATAGCAAACAGTTGAGAAGCAGAAAGATGAACGTCAGTAGAAAGAAGAGTCACGTTTATAAATCAATGTGGCTCATATCCCCATCTACAGATTGATATGTGCCGAACACTTGGGAAAAACAATAAACGAAGATTGTTGTGAGGTGTGTTNGGCCTATTTGATGACGCAATGAGCCTAAAAGTTGGGAGCCGCACTAATAAGTTTTTGCCTCGTACAAAATTATCTCACATCGTAGAAGTTTTCGACAAGCGACCAATCTGTTTTACTGCCAAAAATTACACCGCAACCTATGAATAGTACGTGCTTGGCTGATTAGGATACCCTCCGCATAGTAATACGCTGTAAATTGCACCGCTTATTGTAATTAGTGAAATGGTCCTTTACAATAACGCCACACAATTTTGTATTAGTTTTTGAACCGAATTGTGATTAAAATCAGATATTATGTTGTGAACTCACGGCCAAACATTCCTCGCAACAAGCATGTGCAAATTCAGAACTCGTGCTCTTTTTCTTAAAAAATGCTCATGTACTGCAACACATGTATTAACCACGTTGAATAGGGCTTGACAGCGGGAGCTTGAGTAACGCACTCGGTATTAGCAACGGGTTATCTTTGGTCTGTCATAACAAGCTCTTCAGTTGAAACATGCCACACCAATAATTGTCACTCCTAAAATATAAATTGGGACAACGTAGATCTAAGGCACTTGAACAGCGATAAACATCTGAGTTTAAATAAAGCATCTCAACGGTCATTTCCGCATGATAAAAGCTTGAAAAGATTGTACGCTGAGACGTCCACCCATTTGTTATTG